GATTTTTGGGATTTTTTTTGGATTTTTGGGGGATTTTTTTGGGACTTTTTTGGGATTTTTTGGGGGGATTTGGGATTTTTTGGGGATTTTTTGGGGATTTTTAGGGGATTTTTTGCCATTTTTGGGGATTTTTTTTGGGATTTGGATTTTTGGGGATTTTTGAGGATTTTTGGGGGGATTTGGGATTTTTTGGGGGATTTTTTTGGGATTTTCAGGGGTTGTTTTTGGGCTTTGGGGCCCTTTTGGGATTTCCCTTCCTGGCGCTGCTGGGAACCCTCCTGGGGAACCCCGGCCTCCGGCTCCACGTCCAGGAGGTGCCAAATTCCCGGGAAAACCCCGGAATTCCCAAAAATCCGGGGAAATTGGGAAAATCTGGGAATTCTGGGGGGGTTTTGTTGGGATTTCGGGGTTTTAAAGTGGATTTTAAGTGGATTTTAAGGGATTTTTAAGGAGGGATTTGGGATTTTTGGGAGGGATTTTTTGGGATTTGGGATTTCTTTGGGATTTTTTGGGTTTTTTGTTGGGATTTGGGATTTTTGGGATTTTTTTTTATTTTGGAGGGATTTTTTGGGGATTTTTTTGGGATTTTTTGGCATTTTGGGGGGATTTTTAGGGGATTTTTTGGCACTGTTGGGGGGTTTGGGATTTTTTTGGGGTTTAGGATTTTTGGGGGATTTTTAGGGGATTTTTTGGCATTTTTGGGGGTTTTTTTGGGATTTTTTTGCCATTTTTGGGGATTTTTTGGATTTTTTGGGAGATTTGGATTTTTGGGGATTTCTGGGGGGATTTGGGATTTTTGGGATTTTTTTTGGATTTTTGGGGGATTTTTTTGGGACTTTTTTGGGATTTTTTGGGGGGATTTGGGATTTTTTGGGGATTTTTTGGGGATTTTTAGGGGATTTTTTGCCATTTTTGGGGATTTTTTTTGGGATTTGGATTTTTGGGGATTTTTGAGGATTTTTGGGGGGATTTGGGATTTTTTGGGGGATTTTTTTGGGATTTTCAGGGGTTGTTTTTGGGCTTTGGGGCCCTTTTGGGATTTCCCTTCCTGGCGCTGCTGGGAACCCTCCTGGGGAACCCCGGCCTCCGGCTCCACGTCCAGGAGGTGCCAAATTCCCGGGAAAACC